ATCCAGAGTGAACAGTTTGTCCATTGATGTTTTAGAATCTCCAGCTGGCTGTGATTCCATCAGTAGAAAGACTTCCCATGAACCCCTGGGACTACTCAAATGTAAGCTCTGACTTAGTGTGCCTGGGGCGGGTGGGCCTGAGTCTTGTGTTTCCCCAGTGTCTCCCACTCTTTGGACTTACGTGGACCAGAAAGACTGCCGGCCACAGCCCTGAAGTGCCTGGCTTTGTGTCTGCAGTGTGTGGGATCAAAGAGCCAGGAGAGTCTGGACCAGCTGGAACAACGTGGTCATCCTGTCAGGATGATGAAGAAGAAAGGGATGCTTTGGCTCAAACTGCTGTGTGAACTGAAAACGAGCTGAGGGCAAGTGCCGAGGCCTCTCCTTGGACCAACTGTACCAGCCCCTCCTATTTCACAGAAGTAGAAATAGACCCAGAGAAGTTCAGTGATTTGGCCCACGTCACACAGCTGCTCAGGGTACTGCTGAGGCCCCAGCTCCCACCTTTTGACTCCACGCAACTCTTCACCTTCTTCAACAGCTGCCGCAGCTTTTCCCAGCATGCTCCTCTTTGTTTGGTGATCAGGGCATATTTATTTATAAATTGGCTTGCTTGGAGCCTGAAATTTGGCACAAGTGGTTTTGGCTGTGAGGAGTTTGAATTTTTTCTTGCTTGGTTTGTTAACCCATGTTTTGTGAGGGAAAAAGGGGGGAGGGGGACAAAAATATGAGCTTGCTGAAGTTGTTCCAATGTGAAGCATCCAGAAATGTGGCAGTATCAACTGGCTCAGATAGTAGATTAAAAATGCATGAAGGTAGCCGGGCGTAGGTGGCCCAGGCCTTTAATCCCAGCACTTGGGAGGCAGAGGCAGGTGGATCTCTGTGAGTTCAAGGCCAGCCTGGTTACAGAGTGAGTTCCAGGACAGGCTCCAAAGCAATACAGAGAAACCCTGTCTGGAAAAACAAAACAAAACAACATCAACAAAAAGCATGAAGTTGGCTTTCAGGTATTTACAGACTCAGCAAAAGTCCATGCAGCCGGGTTGCTCCTGGATGATTCGGAGCAGGGTGGGCCCGAGAGTGGGAAGAAACCTGCAGGGCCAGTGGCTGGAGGCTTTTTCTCCACAGCCAGGTTCAGGGCCTGAGCCAAGAGAAGAGAGGGTGTGAACTCTACATCCTTTACCTCATGCTTTGCACAAAGCCAAGGTTGTAAAAGATGGCTTCTTTTTACCCCCCCGACAGGGTTTCTCAGGTTTGGAGCCTGTTCTGAACTCACAGAACCCACCTGCCTTTACCTCTGAGTGCTGGGACTAAAGGGGTGTGCCACTAACACCTGGCTTCTTTTTACTCTTAACACTGGGAATTCATACAAGAAGCACAAATCTGTTGTTTGTAGGGTAGCCAGAGTCCCTCAAACCCAGGTGATACGTATTTTAAAATATCCCAGTAGTAACTCCACTGATGGAATAAGCCCAATCAAACTGAATTAAAAGTCCAGATTTAATGTGCCCAGCCTACCTGGGTGATCTCAGGGGAAGAAGAAAACCACATGGAAGGTCTATGGGCCAGACCTTAAATACCCTGTAGGGTGGTCTTGAGGAGCTCTGGGGGAAGAGCCATTGCTTGGTGGGCCTTCTGAGGGCAGGGTTTGGAATGGGGCCCAGACAAATATCTAGGTGAGGTTTGGATGGGCCCCAAGCTGGAGATTCCCAACATCAGGCCCTTTTAGATACATTGAAATTCCAGTAACTTCTTGGACAAAGACAATCTTAATTAGTGACATCAATTCTTCTACTGTGGGTTCTCATGGCCAGGGAGTCTGGGCACAGTCCCTGAGTGCTACTCCATGCCACTCTGTCCCCACTACCAGGAAGACTCAGTCGTGCTCACAAGCAGACTGGGTCAGCTCAAGGGGTGGATACTCTGCTTCTGCAAGAGTGTCTGGCTAGCAGCTTTTGCCACTATCCCAACAAATCATGCTAACTGCTGAGCATAGTTCTAGCCTTGTCCAGCATATTGTTGTTGCTGTTACTTGTTTTATTGAGATAGGAGCTTATGTAGTCCAGGCTGGCCTCAAACTTGACATGCAGCCAAGGATGGCCTCATGCTCCCGATCCTACTACCACTACCTCCCAAGTGCTTGTTCAATGTTTTTAGCAGTGTGTTTGTGTGTTTGTGTGTGAGAGAGAGAGATAACACAGTGAGCCTGATGATAAAATGTATCAATTTTAAAAACTGTCTTCATAGGTTCACCAAGAACCTTTCATGGTGACCAAAGGATACTTTGAACCTCAGGTTCAGGTTTGTGGTAATTTGAATATAATTGGTTCCCATAAGCCCAAAGGGAGTAGTAGCACTATTAAGGAATGTGGCTTTTTTGGAGTAGGTATGACCTTGTTGGAGGAAGTGTGTCACCGTGAGGCCGGCTTTGAGGTCTCAGATATGCTCAAGCCACTCCCAGTGTCTCAGACCACTTCCTGTTGCCTGTGGGATTGAGATGTAGCTCCTTCTCCATTATCAGCATCGCATCTGCCTGCATGCTGCCATGTCCTACCATGATGATAATGGACTCAGCCTCTGAAACTGTACGCCACCCAATTAAATGTTTTCCTTTTTAAGAGTTGCTGTGGTCATGATCTCTTCATAGCAACAGAAACCTTAAGACAAGGCTGAAAAGTGACCTCCAGGATCCCAGGATCCACTGGGCTGGGTGGGGGTCCTGGCTAGAGAGTGATTTCCAACTTCACCTGGAAAGACTGTGGTACTGAGTGTGGGTCTCCTGGGTGTTGGGGTTCACAGTAGGCTTATACAACTTGTGGCTGAATGAAGGAGGCAACATGCCCTCTTGTACCCAGCCTTTGCATTCTCCCCCTGTTCCTATTTTCTTCGGCTATCCCTCTTTTAGAATTATATTTACTGTTTGTGTGTGTGTGCACTCACATGTTTTACGGTGTGTGTGTGTGTGTGTGTGTGTGTGTGTGTGTGTGTGTGTGTATGTCAGAGGGCAACTTGTGGGAGTCAGTTCTCTCTCTCTCTCTCTGCACCCTGTAGGTCCTAGGGATCCCACTCAGGTCTTCAGGTTTGGCAGCAAAGACCTTTACCACTGAGTCATCTTTCTGACTCTTTGGCTGGCTTAAGGATAAAAAACACAGCCATCCTAGGACCTGCCAGGCTCTTTGTACAACAGGGGAAATTCCCCAGTCCAGTTTCACAGAAACTGTTTCACAGTTTCATAGAAAGCTTCTATTCTGTGATGAATTCTTCAGAGCCCCACCCACTTTCCCTAGGATACTCACAGCCACCATGTGGAGAAGGCGCTGGTAGACTCCTGCATGGGCCATGGGACAGAACAGGAGGCACAGCCTTGCCTTGCTAGACCCAGCCAGATGTGGGACAGAGGCCCTAAGACCCATGTCTCCATTTGTTTACTCACCAGCTTGCTCTAACTTTGGCGTCAAGTTCCCTGGAAGTGGAAATGCTTCTTTGATCAGGGAAGAGGCATATGCAGTAAGGATCATACTCTGGTAACTGTGAGGTGCTTGGTTGTTCTTGGGAGCCTGGGTTTCAGTGTTTCATTCTGGGGAATCTAAGGCTCTCCAGCTCTTTTGGATGTAAATAAACAGTTCTGCTTGTTTTCAAATGTGTCTACACATTCAAATGTCCCTCCAAAAGTGACACCGCAGAGTCAGCCAGGCTGGCTCAGCCCAGGCCTCCTGATTTTGTTTCCCCATCTGCAGTGGGTAGCAGCAATATGTCCCTGCCTCCCTCACCGTTTCTCCGTTTCAGGAACCCAGAATGGTTACCCAGCTTCCAAGCGGAGGAAGTGTGATGGAGTTTGGGTGTGGGCAGAGGCTGTCCCCTGCATAAGCTTACATCATGACTTCCCGGTTAGGTTTTTGTCAACTTTACACAAGCTAGAGTTATCTGGGAAGAGGAGCCACAACCGAGCAAAGGCCTCCGTCAGATTGGTCTATGGGATGTTTTCTTGATTAATGATTGATTTGGGAGGGCCCAGCTCACTGTGCATGGTACCACCCCTGGACTGGTAGTTCTGGGTGGTATAATAAAGTAGTCTGGCTGGGTGGGGGTGGTGCACGCCTTTAATCCTAGCACTCGGGAGGCAGAAGCAGGTGGATCTCCGTGAGTTTGAGGTCAGCTTGGTCTACATAGAGAGTTTCAGGACATACGGACTGTTACACAGAGAAACCCTGTCTTGAAAAACAAACAGCAACAACATATATATATATATATATATATATATATATATATATATATAGAGAGAGAGAGAGAGAGAGAGAGAGAGAGAGTAGGAGCAAGCCATGGAGAGCAAGCCAATAAGCAGCACTCTCTAGTCTCTGCATCTGCTCCTACCTCCAGGTTCCTGCCAAGACTTCCCTTTATAATGGACTCTGAGCCCTTCCAAATTGCTTCTGGTCATGGTGCGTTTTTTGGTTTTTTGTTTTGTTTTGTTTCGTTTGTTTGTTTTGAGACAGGATTTCTCTGTGTAGCTTTGGAGCCTATCCTGGAACTTGCTCTGTAGACCAGGCTGTCCTAGAACTCACAGAGATCTGCCTGCCTCTGCCTCCCTGAGTGCTGGGATTAAAGGTGTGTGTCACCACCGCCTGGCTTGGTCATGGTGTTTTTATCACAGTAATAGACACCTACATACAACACCATCTCAGACCCAATGGTCATTGGTGTTTTGCTGGCTGATCACTGGCAAAGGCACGGGGCTGGGGGACCCAGCTCACAGACTTGGCTGTCTTCGGAAGTCTGCAAAACACTTTATCTCCCCTTTGGTTTCTGAAGCAGAGCAGACACCTTAGTATTTCCAGTTCTGCTTGTCACTGGTGTCCTTTCATGGGTCAATTGTGGAGTGGCTGGAATTTTCTGGACCAGGTGTGTCCAGGTGTCTGCAGACAACCTTTCCTCCTCCCACGGACCCACCTGGAGCTCAGACTTCTTTCTGGTGCTTCTATACGAGCACTAAAGTCGGGACAGACTGGGGGCTGTGACATATTTATTTGCTGATGGTACTTATTTGGAGGGGGGTGAGCTCTAGATTGTCTTTGTTCTTCGGATGCAGTCCTGCCCATCACAGGGACAGAAGTCCCTTAAAACCAGGCTAAGTAGGGGAGCAGCAGCTCCCTGCCCACAAAGCTATTTGTAGAGCCAAAAAGATGGAGGCCAATCTCCAGGTCAAGGTCCCTCCCTCCCATGCCAAGTTTCTCTGCCCTATATTCATGGTAGCTGTGCTTCAACACCATCCAAAGGGAGCCCCCTGCTGCCGAGGCAGAGGTGTCTCAAGGAAACCTCTAACCACCTGTTTGTTTTGTAACGGTTACAAAAGCCCCCACCCAGGTCAACCAAGGAGAAATATGAGCCAGCAAGTTGTTCCTCTCTTTGAAGGCAACGACTGGCATGGACAACAGAACAGGCCAGCAAGTAAAGCGGCCACCAGACACATGGTAGAGTAAGCGGCCCACTCCTTACTGGCAGTCATGCAAGACCGGCTTGCAAGGTGGAGACTGAGAGGCAGGGCCGGGCAGCCTGGTTCAGCGTTCCCGTGTCAGCCCAGGATCTCTGCAGAAATGGCGCAAAGGACCAAGGCCAGGAAACACAAGTTCCCCAAGGCTCTTTTTCTCTCCTCTCCTTTGGTTTGTCTCAAGGGATGGAGGGGACCCCTTCTTCAGGAGCCACAGAGTTTGGAGCCAAGTGCACTGACTCCATAGCTGGGAAGACCAGCCCTTGAGTCTATTGACCCTAGAATGTAGTAGCCCCAGCTGGAGCTTCAGTGACCAGGCTGTCTCCAGTGGGGAGGGGCTCTTCAATAGCTACAGTGCAGACCATCGAGAGATCCCAAAAAGGAGCCTCCTTCCGTCGGAACAGGGAACTCTGAGGTTAGTGTTCCTTTAAGAAACCCTCATGATTGTGTTACCATACCCCTTTTATCTGGGGTGTGAGGGCCAAACTATGCCTTTGGCCACATAAGCTGTTGTCTTCTTGGCCCATGCACGGCCAGCTCGGAGGAGGGCAGGAAAAATCACTTCTCGTTGCTGTGGCTTACTTTCATGCTGCCCCCCAGGTCATTGGCCTGGTGCTCTCAGCACTGATCGGCCTCCATGAAGCCCTCCTTCTCGTGGCCTGAGGGCTCGACCTCTGTGTAGGTGGAGTGGCTAGGGTGGTTGCGGAACTTCATGGCTGGCCAGTGGTGAGGTCTCCGCTGCGGGGACACAGAGGCAAAGTCAGTGAATGCCACCTCCTCATTGAATTGCACCCCTGAGGGCTGGTGCAAGGCTCTCTCTTACACGGGTCCTGAAGGAATGGGGGCCCACTGTGGAGACACAGCTGCTGGTTGGGGCCACTCCCTCAGTAAGATCCCTCAAGTAAACCCTCAGCCACTAGAAACCCAATATAGTCCTGGCTGACTCAGGACTCTCTATGTAGACCACGCTGGCCTTCAACTTGCAGCAATCCTCCTGCTTCTGCCTCCCACATATTGGGCTTACGGGTGTACGCCACCCGCCTGGCAGTTTTAGAAGCTGGTTTGGAAGGAACATTTTATCCATCACTGTGTGGTTTGCAAAACTGATTTAGAACCTTCAACAGCAGCCTGTAGACGTGAGACTGCAGGAAGTGATGAAGCAGGTCACAGATGCCTGGATGACCTAGGAGACTGGAAATGCCAAGATAGCCCTCTACACGGCACAGGTCCTGTAGCAGAGTCCATGGGAACCTCACTGAAAAGGAGATTCCTTATCCCACCTTGACCCCACTCAACGAAGTCCTTGTGGCCTGGGAACCAACAGTCCTTGGTGACACCCAGGTCGGCTAAGAATTCAGAACATGGGGTTGCAGAGATGGCTCAAAGGTTAAGAGCACTGGCTGCTCTTCCAGATGTCCTGAGTTCAATTCCCAGCAACCACATGGCGGCTCACAACTATCTGTAATGATATCTGGTGCCCTATTCTGGCCTGCAGGCAAACATGCAGACAGAACACTGTATACATAATAAATAATCTTAAAAAAAAAAATCAGAACAACAGAAAAGACCTTGCTAAATTAAAAAAAAAAAAAAAAAGCTCAAGGAACAACCCAGACCTCTGGGGAATAAGGTCAGTGGGCTTGTGACCCAGGTAAAGATGTCTGTATCAGTCATGCCCTCTGGAATCTTCTTAAATAGCCCTCCTTAAAGGCTTTAGGAAAGTTCGCTCTGATGTGCTATCTAAGCACTGTCGAGTTCACTGAGGGTATCATCTGCTTGTGACCTACTAGAGGGCATCTTCACACCCTCTGGAAATGTCTTCAGCAGTGGGATAGGAGCCAGAAGTCACTGAGCTCTGTGGCTTGCTGAGCCTTACTTCCCATGACATACTACTCTTCCCATGAGTTCTGGAACATTGAAACTGCAGCGCCAGATAAAACTCCCTCAGAGCACAGCCCTCGTTAACATTTTGGCTTGTCTGCTGTCACCTAAAAAACTCCACAGAAGCAGTGAAATATGGTGACTCCTTCATGACTCTGAAAATCTCAAAATTGGGAACAAGAAATCACAAGTCATGAGAGGACAGGCCCCTGCCACTAACAGGGCACTCTGTGGCATTTCTGACCGCCCTCCTCTGGGCTTTCCTAACCTCACAAGTCGGGAAAGCAGACAGGCCATGTTCCAGGGAGGTAAAGCCTAGATGCTGGGTCCTGGGGATGATGGACTTCAAGAGCACCAGCCACCCAAGATGTGGAGGAAATTTTCTTAGGGAGGTGAGGGATGGATGGGAGGGGATGGGGCGAGGCGGGTTCTAAATGACCAGGGAAATACTGGTGGGGAAACTGGCCTGAAGAAGATGCAGGCGAACCCCACACTAACCTCGATGAAGAAGAGTGCAGCATTGGAGTTAGGGTGGCCACTGATGTAAATCCCAGCCAGGATGATGGCTGCTACCAGGAGCACAGCCAGCACGATGCCCACGATGGTGCCCAGGTGGACAGGAGGACCCTTGGTCTTTGGGGACAAGTTGTCTTGAAGTCCTATGGAGGCACGGGGAGGACAGAGAAAGATTTCAGGGAGCAAGGAAAAGCTGAGCCTCCAAGCCTTGTGTTCTGACGAAGATGAACACCCACATTTACAAACCCACAGAGGGGTGTGGCTAGACTTGGTGGGATGGCTTTACAACATGAGTGTTCTGGCACCTTTAAGGTGCTTTCTAGAATCATTTAGAAGTTGATCTTAAGGCTTTATAAGGAAGCTATCTCAGGCATCTGGGTCACATCAGCACTTCTGGGAATTCACAAAAGGCCCTCGATAGTTAAGACTTTGGGGTCTTGGAGCTAACGAGATGCCTCAGTGGGTGAAGGTGCTTGCTGCCAAGCCTTATAACTTGAGTTTGATCCCTGGGCATCACATGGTGGAAAGGACAGAACTGACTCCTGTGAATTGTTCCCTGACCTCCCACAGAGAGAGGAGCAGATGTTCACAAACACTGCTACATGCACAAAATAAATGTAACTTTTAAAAATTGAAATCTTAGCTCTGAGTGTGGTCTCGAAGGCCTGCAATCTTAGCACTTGGGAGAAGGCAGGAGGGTCAAGAATTCAAGGTCACATCCTCACCTACACAGTGAGTTTGAACCTAGCCTGGGTTACATGAGACCTTGCCTCAAAAGATCTGAGGGTGCCAGATGTGGTGGTGTATGCCTTTAATCCCAGTACTCAGGAGGCAGAGGCAAGTGGATCTGATCTACAGAGTGAGTGCCAGGCTGGCGAGAGCTACACAGAGTCTCAAAAAAAAAAATCAAAACAAAGCAAAACAAACAAACAAACAAACAAAAACCCTCAAATCTATACTCTGCCACTTATGTGACTTTGGGAAAATCAGCCTTTGTGAGCCTGTTAGCACCTTTGTAGAACAAGGAAAATAGGTATCTAGCTGGGGTTACTGTGCTATGGACAAATGGCAGAGCTCATGCCAAGCCCTGAGAACCTCGGCCAGCATCTTGGAAGTCCGGAACTAGTATTAATTGTTCTGATAGCAAACGATCATAGGTATCCTTGTTTCTGTCTCTTGCCAGATTGAGACTTGCAGGGATGGTAAGGTTACTATCTAGCTCTTAAAAACAATGGGGTCCACTGTGAAGTGGGGGGGTCTCATTTCCCCTGCATTCATTGGGATGAACTAGATCCTCCCGAGGCACCACCAAACCACTGTGAGAGAACATCTCAGGCATTTGAAATACATCCCAAGGATAAGAGGGTTCATTCAAGCCCGCCCTTTCTTTATGACTGTGGTAATGGAAACACAGAGACGTTACGCCTTTTCCCTAAGAACACGCTGTGTCAGCTCTAAGACGCTGGGTTCCCTAACATTACCCAGGTGGTTATTTGCTGCCTCCCCTACCTAATGTGCCGGATGAGCTAAAGAGACAGATGTGTTAGCAATGGAGATGCCCAGGCCTTCTCACATGGCTCTTGGGTGGGAAGGGAGACAGTGCAGTGACAGGATGTCAATAGGATGTTGACTGCATCAGGGTTCTTGTTCTCCCCATTTGTCTCTGTGGGGCACTGTGTACACAGAAGCCCAGGACAGAAACCATCCAGGCCATTGAAAGTACACACCCTGGGCTAGCCTCTGCTGATTGGGCGGCTGGCCATCAGCACCTAGCTTGCTGTGATACTGTGATGTGGGCTGTGGTTCTTCCCCCACCACACAAACTCACGGAGGGGAGCTATGCCAGATTGCACTGTAAAAAGGGAACCTCTCCTGCTCGACTCCCAAGGACTACTCCCAGCCTGGAGCTGGAAAGGCACTTCCTCATCCATCCATCCATCCTCGCAGTAGCTACAGCAACTTCAGGAAGGCTTCCCACGGCCAGAGAATGTTTTCCCTGAGGCTGGTAGTAGCTCACCTTCTGGTACCCCTCCTTCTGGTACCCCTGTACCAGGCAGTGGACAACACCTGCCTACTCTTCCCATGGGAGGGAAACTGGATGATGGGAAACCGCCCTCCCCATGCAGCTGAGGCCCACAGGGAAGCAGGTGGCACTGGCTCAGCCACTTCCTCAAATTCTTTTCAGGGCAGTAGACACGGGAGGCTCCTGGCTGAGACTGGAGGTGTCTAGAGTAGACATGCTTCATCGCCTCAGCCCTCTGCCCTCCTGCTCAGCCAGAGGCTTGGGACACCGGTTGCTTTGCTCTTTTCCCTCTACTGTTATGGCTCCTCATGGTGGACCCACAGCCATTTGTCTGGTGAAGGACAGGCAGCTCCGTACTCACCATCTCCTCCTGCGTAGGGATTCAATTTGGTGTCATCTTCAAAGAGGACAGAAGGAGCAAAATTAGTGGAATCGTTCAGACTTTGGTCATCCCTGGTCTGGATGGAACTTGAAGGCGGTATCCTTTCCAACCTTCCCATTTAGACAGGGGAGGTGTCCTGCCCAAAACTATATAGCAGTGTGATGGGGAAGATTGGGACAAGCCAGCTTTTCCTGTCTTACGTCATTCATTATATGAGTGTTTACTATGGGCTGGTGGTAGGATTAGGGAGACCATAGATAATGAATGGACATGGTCCCCACCTACATCAGGTAGGGCAATTAAACACACACAATACCAGGCTGTAGTTCAGTCGTTGAGCATGTGCCAAGCAGGAGACATAAGGGAAGCTCTGGGTTTAGCTTTAACACACACACACACACACACACACACAAATAAACAAGCAACCTCCCAAAAAACTATATATAGACCTCACAAGATGAAGCTGTCTCTGCAGGCCTCACTCAGATCATGGGAATCAACAAGTTTCCCAGAGGGAGGAAGTGAGTCCTAAGCTGGGAAGTGAGGAAGACATGCCAGCCCAGGGTCAAAGAATTGGCCAGCTGTGTATACTAGTGGGTGGAGAGATGGAAGGCAGGTGCTGGAGTGCTGTACGGAACTCTTTGCTGGCCTTCTAAGGAGCAGCCGGGTGCTGGTTTGTTTGCAGACTCCAGGGCAGTAGTTGTATCGCCCTCTCTTTCCCTCAAACAGTACACCAGTGGCTTCCTCTGTTTCGCCGTCCACCTTCTTCCTGGGGTTTTGCCACATGAGCCGAAGGAAGCCAGGAGTTCAGGGTCTGAAAGCCCCATACCACCACAGGCTGTTGTTGTAATCACTTCAATTTGAAACAGTCTTAACTGCACCACAATTTACAGCATTCTGATCATCTTCCCTGCTGCACCCCAACATCCGGGCTGCTTGAGATTCTTCCTGGGCCCCGTGTTTGTTCACAGGGCTTTGAGACCCTAATAATCTCTTAAGTGTCACAGCTCCACACTGCGGTGGAGGCTGCTGGAAAGAAAATGGCTGAAGACACTGCTCAAGGTCCTCCAGATGTCCTAGCCTTCCACACATCTGAGCTACGGAGCAAGCAAGTGAGCATATTGTCACTTCTGCCTCTAAGGCCTCTCTCCCTAAACCTCCCCCTGAATTCCTCCTCCAGTATCTCCCTGCAGAGCTGACCTGGGGTCCCATCCTCTGCTGAAAACTGGTATTTGTGGAATTTTTGGATTAATTTTGGTCTTTATAAACACCACATTGAAGTATTTATCTCAAATATTACTTTTGGGGTTTTTTGGAGCCTCCTTTAAATTCGCATGCAAGTCACATGCTCCTACCCCCAGCCATCATCTCAGCATCTTGTTGAGACCTTTCAATTATAGGCCAGCCCACACATATCCTGGCAGACAAATGGACATGTGTGCCTGTTCCAGCCGTTCTACAGAGCCACAGAAGTTGGCCACACTGTCCAAAGTGGCCTCCTGCTCGCCGGGACTGGGTCCCAGAGGCCATCTTTCCAGGGCTCTGTGAAGTATAAGGTGGTTCTCTAATAAATGGAAAGGGGATGCAGCAGCTATTAAACTGATAAGCACAGATACTGCTGCCTGCCTCTGCCTCCTAAGCGCTGGGATTAAAGGTGTGTACCAAAGTCCATTTCTTATGGATGTAACTTGATAATGTTGCCATGTCCTCTGGGACAGAAAGGATCCAAAGCCATAAACGTCCTCATTTTATTAAATGTTTCCATCAGGAACTATTACTCAGCACTCAGGCAGGCAGGAGATGCCACCAGCATGCCTCACTCACCACCTTTGTGCTGGGACAGCCCATGAGAGCATCAGCCCCGAGCAGGGCTGTGAATGCGATCAGGATTTGTACTTGGTGCCCAGATCTTGTGTCTTGGGGTCCAATCAGCTCAACTTCCAGTCCCGGGTCTGCTGCTGTACCACACAGCTGCCCTCTGAGTGGGTGGGCTTGCCCAAGGCCATGGCAGGAGTAGACATGACCCTATACATAGGGTAAGCTGAGAGCAGCTCATTAGGAGGGAGGCTTTATTAGCTCACTAGGTTCATTGTAAACATCACCCAGAGGACTAGAGAGCAGCAGCAGACCTCAGACTTGACTGGCGGAGAATGAGTCATTGACGAACAGACCTGACATCTTTGTGGGGACTGGCTATGGGGGAAGGGCATACAGTCATCATTACTGACACCCCATTCCTATGATCCTGGATGTTGATATTGGAAGGTAAGTGGAGGTCATGCCTGCCCTTAGATACTAAGTCCCTGAGAACAGTTCCCTTTGTACTCTATCTTCACTGAGTCCCAATGAATTCCGAGGCTGCAGTGCGCCCTCTGCTTTAATGTCACAGTCTGGCTGCCTTGTTATTCTTGGCTACAAGAGTAAGACAGCTTTCAGAATTGTGTCCACCCTTTGCTATTTTCTCACTTTCATTTCTCATAGCACAGAGGAGGGTGGGGGAGCCTAGGATTCTTGGAGTACAGTGAGACCTGTCTCCATGTCTTCCTGTCTGTGTGACCCTGGGCAAGTCATTTACCTCTCTGAGTCATAGTGTCTTCTCTACAAAACGGGGGTGCAATGGTATAATATCCAGGACTGTGGGGAAAGGCAATGATATAATATCCAGGACTGTGGGGAAAGGGTGTTAATGGGTGACTGTTATCCTCCCGGCACATGGCCCCCATGACGTCAGATCTGAGGTTGGCTGTCTCTCTAGTCTTCTAGGTGATCTTTACAAGGACAGGAGGCTCTCATGTAGCCCTGAGTGACCCATTTGGTCTCTTATAAGCCAAGCTTCTTACTCTCAAGCAAGACTGCATTGTATTTTTGGATACTAGCTTTTTCTTCTCCCTTCCCTTCCCTCCTCCAGGGACGCTATTAATATCTCACAAGTTCTTCAGCCCTCCTAAGGGAAAAGGCTCAGGTCAAGGACTGAACCCTAAAAGGGTCCAAGGGACAGGAAACTTGAAGCTCTTAGGACTGGAGGCTATGGGGGCTGCCAGAGACACTCACACCATGTTCTAGGGATCCTAATCTCTAGCAATGTCATTCAAGATCCCCTGGCTTCGAGGCAGCAAAGGAGTCCTGCGGATGGTCAGGACCTAGTAGGCAGTGAATGGGCACCAACCCAAGGAGGAAGGCTGAGTCAGAAGTAAAAGTGAGAAGGGCATTGTGGCAAATGCCTTTAATCCCAGCACCTGAGTTGGGTGTTATGGCACATGCCTTTAATCCCAGAACTGGGGAGGCAGAGGTAGGCCGATCTCTGTGAGTTCGAGGCCAGTCTGGTCTACATAGTGAGTTCCAGGGCAGCCATGGATATATATAGAAAGACTCTGTCTTACCCCCCCCCCAAAAAAAAAAATCCCAGCACTTGAGAAGGCAGGAGGATCAGGAGTTCAGTGTCATCTTTGGCTACACAGTGAGTTCCAGGCCAGCCTGAGCTACATGAGATCTTTGTCTCAAAAAAGCTAAAACACAGTGGCTCACATCTATGCTTCCAGAACTTGGAAAGTTGAGACAGGAGGATTGCTTATAAGTTCAAGACCAGGTTGGGAGAGTGAGACCCTGTGTGGTGATTTGAATGAGAACACCCCGCCCCCCACAGGCTCATGTGTTTGAATACTTGTCCCTACTTTGGGAAGAACTAGGAGGTGTGGCCTTGTTGGAGGAGCTGTGGCACTGAGGGCAGGCAGCCTTTGAGGATTCAAAAGACATGTGCTGTCCCCAGTGTGCTCCCTGCCTCCTGCCTGTGGGCAGATGTGCACGCTCAGCTGTTCCTGCTACCACGCCTTTGCTCTGCTGTCATGGACTCCAACCCTCTGGAACCGTAAGCCCAATTAAACGCTTTCTTTTATAAGTTGCCTTGGTCATGGTGTTTGATCACAATAGAAAAGTAACTAATACATCCTGTCTCAGTAAAATAAGTAAAAACAAGAGGGCTGGGCATGTAGTATAGTGCTTGCTTAGCATCATACAACACCCTAGGCTCAATCTCAGTACAGGAAGAAGGGGGGCAGGGAAGGTAGGTTCTAGAAAAAAAAAAATCAAACAATTGTCTCTCACCACTGACTGGGTGGGCAGAGTTACTGTTCTATACTCCAAGTAGCCTCACAGGATCTGCCAGGTTAATATTAAGATGGGGTGCTCTAACATTGGCTACCCCCTCTCTGAGGGGACCTACATCTCATGTCTGTGGTCAGAGCTTCTCCTGTATTGGCTTCTGCTTCTCACTAGCAAGATAGCTAAGCTTCCTGAATCAGTGCATGTGGTTAATGAAAGACCAGGGTAATCTCTGTCCTGTGAGACAGTTCCTATCCTGTGAGACGGTCCCTGTCAGGAAGGGGCAGGCTCTTCCTGTGGTTCCTCTCTGCCCCGGGACTCATGTCTTACCTTCTGTAGTGAGACTGTCGATGAAGAAGGAGGAAGAGGTGGTGCGGTCCCCATCAAAGGGGCCGAAGGAGCTGTCAGGGGAGGCTGAGTAGTGGCCCTCATCCTGGAAGTCCTCACACATCCTGCCCCCCGCCTGCAAGAGACCCCGATGCTGCTTCCAGACACAGCCAGCCCCGAATGCACCCAAACCTTATACTTATACTCAGCTACTTGGGAGGTAGAGTAGGGGGTGATTGATTAAGTCCAGGAGTTCAAGACCAGCCTAGTCATCAGAGTGAGACCCTGCTTCAGAAAATAACTAAGATGGAATCTTCCACTTTATCTTGAAAGTGTCTTATCTTACAGGGTAATTTATCTGTCAGCTGCTTCAAATCATTTCCTAAGGAGGGGGTTGAGATGTCAATCTTAAATAAATAGATAAAATGTTAACAGTCACTGGCTGGGTGCTCTCTCAGCACCCGGAGGCAGAGGTAAGGGATCTCTGTGAGTTTGGGGCATCCTGGTATAAATGATGAGTTTCAGTACAGCCAGGACTACATAGACCTTATCTCAAAACCCAAACAAAATAAATTAATAATAATACCTTAACAGTCACTAACAGCCAGTGTCATATGGCTGCCCCCCACCCTACCGATCTATTTAAAATGTGTGACCACCATATGGAAGTCAGGTTGTCAGTTCTTATCTCCCACCCATCATGTGAGTTCCGGGAATCGAACTCAGGTTCTGAGGCTTGGCAGCAGGCTCCTTTACTCACTGAGCCATTTTGCTGCCCCAATTATTTTTTTTCTTAAGACAAGAGGAAGATGAGAGCATGGCTGGGAAGTCTGAGGGGCTTGTGTTTAAACACTGAGCCCGGCATCTTCCTCTTTAAACTTCTCCGTGCCTCAGTTTCCTCTCTGGCCAGCGAGGGCCCTGGTCCCCAGGGTTTTGGATCATGTTAAATAAGAGCAAACACATAGCAGTAAAGTGCCTGGCTTGCAAGAAGACATAAAGACCAGGAGCTGTGTGAGTTCAAGGCCAGTCTAGACCACAAAGGACTGGGGAAGGGATTGTTCTTGCCCATGTGAGATGTTTCTAGAGTCTAGAGCAGCCATTCTCAGCCCATGGGTCACAACCTTTTTTAAAAACCTCTATCTCCAAAAATACTTACATTACCAACCATAATGCTAGCAAAATTACAGTTCAGAAGTAGCAACGAAATAATTTTATGGCTGGGGGGTCACTACAACATGAGGGACTGCATTAAAGGGTCACAGCATTAGAAAGATTGAGAACCACTGTTCTAGTGTGTTCTGGAGAAGGCACCTGGGTGGGATTCTAAGCAGAGGTGCCTGGGACAACCCCCCTTGCTCCCAGAATGACTGCCTCCCTCAAGATCAGGAGGGACAGAGCTTCATTAACATCATACAGCATACAGGGGCCCTGAGGAGTCAGCTGTGGCTAGGGAAGACCCAACACGCCTCTCCCCTGAGGTAACAGGGTTCCCAGGCTTCCTGCTCAAGGCCACATCACCAGCAGGGCTAGACTCAAGAACTCAAGAAGGCCTGAAATACTCTCCAAAGTGGCTCAGAGCAGGACAGAAAACCTATCTGGGATGAAGGAGAGGATGAGGCTGTCACAGGCCAAGGCCACCTTGAGAAGTGTTATCTGGGGCATTCCCCTGGCAGCAACCCTTCTCCAAGCAGGGACTAAAGCAGATCACTCACAGGACTCACCTCCTGGGCACAGCCATAGGCCAACCACTCCTGGCGGTAGCGGTCAAAGCCACTGGAACATCTATAGGGGACCAAATATGGGAGATGTGAGGGGCTCAGCAGAGAACCAATCACTCCCTCTCATTTACCCCTCTACTCAGTAACAGCCCTGTGAGGGGAGGAAGGGGGGGGGGCTCAGCTCTAGGCTACAGAAAAGGTCACTGCACAGGTGCCCTGGGCAGGAGATGATTATGGGATTTGCAGTCAGACCCTCACGTCTTCTTCCTTCAGACCCAGTTCCCCAGGTCAAGGCTTTCTCTGCCCAGCAGTGTGTGTGTGTGTACAGGACCCTGGAAGCTCTCAGGGTCCCTTCAACTCTGTACTGGGAATCTGGGATGTCTATGCCTACACTTTCCTTCGGAGAAAACCTTGCTCAGTCAGGGCTGTCCATCACTATTGAGAAGGTGTCCCATTGGCAGCAGAGGCTGGGCACAGGGTGGCATCAGATCATGTAATGTAGCCAACTCCTTCTGTGTAATCACAAGGGGACAGCAATAAGAATGGTGTCAGAGACCTACATGGGTCTCTGGACAGGACATAAGACACCAAGGGCTTCCCTAGGGAGAGGGTGGGGTACAAGCAGGAACTGGAGAATGCCCTTTGCAGCACCCTGCTTAAATTTCTGTTCTTCCTTCTTGGTGCCAGAGGAAGTCACTAAGCTCTAGGTGACCCAAGCATGTTGCAATGGAAGAAAAATATCCCAAGCCGCTAGCGCAGAGAAAGAATTCTCAGCAAGTTAACTCAGCCCCAGCGGTGGCCTCGTGCCCACACCCAAGTGTGGTGAAGTTTCCCGAGGGGATCTGAGGCCTCTGTTGGCTGAGCTGGGCCAGCCACTGATCTCTCGCTTCTCAGGGGGGGAGAGCAAAGAGCAGTTTGAAGGTTGCAACTCAGGCTTCATTGATAATATTGATAGCTTCTGTTAAGACTAAGTTGGGCCCAGTGGTGCTGGTGGCACACACCTTTTATCCCAGCTCTCCGCAGAAAGAGGTAAGTGGATCTCTGAGTTCGAGAGCAGTCTGGTCTACAGAATGAGTTCTAGGACAGCCAGGACTATACAGAGAAACCTTGTCTCAGAAAACAAAAACAAACAAACAACAACAAAAAAAAATACAAAGGACTGAAAGTCCATGCTGGTTGTGGTGGTGTATGCCAAAGAAATATTTCAAGGCCAACCTGGTCTACATAGCAAGTTTCAGGCAAGAGGACCCAGGTTCTATCCCCAGTAACCACGTGGAGGTCCACACAACTGTCTGTGACTCTGGAGCCGAGCCAGGGAATCCAATGCCTTTTTCTGGCCTCCAAGGGCTCTCCAGGCATGAACATGGATCGCATACATTCAGGGAAAACCCCATATACATATACATAAACAAAACAAATAAAACAAAAATCAAGAAGCACCCCAATCCTGAGTCTTCAGTTTGGGTTAAGTCTACAGCCAGCCAACATTGACTCAGAAGAATGTGAGAATGGGCCATTTACTGAGTGTCTCTTGACTGTCTGGTGCAGTCACAATGACATGGTCAGGTGAGAATTAGGACTGTCATTTCCTGGGCAATTCCAGGGCTGCGGCCACCCATAGACTCCACTGTGAGCCAAGGGGACATGATGGGGCCAGTGCAGAATGAAAGGCTGGAGAAAGTGTTCTTCGCAGTGCATGGAGGGTGCTGAGTGGCTACAGAGGACAGAGTGAGTGGGCAAGAGAAGAAGAGGCCCGCTGGTGTTCCCAGTGCTCTGGCCCTGCCCTCTGGCTCAGGGAACTGGGATCAACTCTCATTTGGAGCTAAGGATCCAGAGCTGGCTGGTGGAAGTGTGGGATGGAGTGCCTGGCTGGGGTGGGTGGTCTCAGCTCGCTTGTACCCTCTGCTGGGGCATCCCTGTTTTGTCGCAGAGGTAGAGCCCACCAGCAGAGTCCCCACATTTCCCAACCTGGCCAGCATCTTCACATCCAGGGACTCCAGCTTTCATTCCGCTGTCTTGTCTCTAAGTTTGGGTGTGGCTCCTAACTGGGGGTGGTGGTGAAGGGAGGGTTTGCTTTGTTTGACCCATTTTCCTACGGCTCAGCACGGGTTGGATCCTGAGTCATGCCTGGCAGCCGCCTCCAGATCCCAGGGATCATGTGAGGTCATCTCATGTACCACCCCAAGGCTTAGAAAATGCTGCTGGGCTTTGAAATGCATGAGATGAAGCACCCTAAAATTCAGGCTCCTGGGATCTTGGTCCCTGGGGACCACATCTTTTTAGATTGCTAGTTTCACCCTCACTACACAACTGGGGGTGACCTTGAACTCCTGATCTTCCTGACTCCACCTCTCAAGTGCGGGGATTATAGGCATGTGCCACCATGCCCAGAGTTTTTAAAGTTGTGTTTTATTTTTGTTTTACATATATGATGTTTTGCCTGTGTGTATGTCTGTGTACCACGTATGCAGTACCTACAGAGATCGGAAGAGGGGATCAGATCCCTGGGATTGGAATTGCAGACAGTTGTAAACTACTGAGTACTACGATTTGACCCCCAGATCCCTCTCCAGCCCTAGGATAGCTTTTTGGTTTGGTTTTGAGACAGAGTCTTAATAGGTAGCCTTGACTGTCCTGGAACTCACTATGTAGACCAAGATAGCTTTAAATATCATAGACATGCATCTATCTCTGCTTTTTTTTTTGGACAGGGTTTCAGGGTTTCTCTGTAAAATAGCCCTAGCTGTCCTGGAACTCACTCTATAGACCAGTTGGCTTTGAACTAACAGAGATCTGCCTTCTCAGTGCTGGGATTAAAGGTGTGCACCACCATAACCAGCCTGGCTGCCCTTTTTACCAGCCTTCAGGATAGTTCTCACAGTCCACAGGCAGGAAGGCTAAACTCCCAGAAGACAAGGGTCTATGTCACTAACTTCCTCTGGGGCTCTGTGCCTTGCCTGCCAAGGGCCCTGGATGCATTTGGTAAAATTATATCTAGCATTATAGGAGCTCCAGTAATGGGCCATTTCATAGGGTAGGGGAATTGAGTTCCCCAATAAGAGAAGGCTACAGCTGGAGGGAAGAACACCTCAGAGGCTGAGGCCCCTGGGCATCCCATCTCTGGTGCTCTCTGAAGGGTGGCTTCGTGTCCCGTGTGCCAGGCTGGCGGTCTGTAGGATGAAGAACCTCTATTTCTTCTCTGAGATGTTGGAGAGGAGCAAAGGAAATGCTGACCACTGCACAACAGCTGCACAGGGGCTTAGAGACTGTAATTTTGCAATTTTCAAGATGGCCTTAACGGCTCTTGGAATTTATAGTGCTTCCCACTCTCAGGAGAGTCAGCATCCCCAAAGGAGTCCTTTCCCCCATCTCCTGTCATTTATTTATCTTGGCTAGAAAAACTGAGGTTGAATTACAAGTCTAATTGGTGAGGAGATGATTCCAAAACAAGGACTGGAAGATGCTATGAGTTTAAGAACTTCATCCCCAAAACTGAATATCATCCAGAATGCCCTGAGCTTCCAGTACCTGTAGTATCCATGCCTGGTTCTCAGGAAACCTGTTGCAGCCCAAGAGGACATTGGGGAAGTTTTGAGGGGCCATGGAACTCACCCAGCAGTAACACATCTTTGTGTCATGGCCTTTCACTGGCCTACAAATGAGGTGCCATATTAAGATGCAGGCCTGTACCTGGGGTGATGGTACACACTTTTAATACCAGCACTGGGGAGGCAGAGTCAGGTGGATCTCTGTGAGTTTGAGGCCAGCCTGCTCTACAGAGTGAATTCCAGGACAGCCAGGGCTACAAAGAGAAACCCTGTCTCAAAAAACCAACCAAACAAACAAACAAACAAAAACAAAGGCACACCTTGGATCTCCCTGGAAATCATGACAGAGGGGCCAGCGATTCTGTGACCACAGCTATGGCCTACTGTCTTGGAAGCCCTGGCCCAGAATGAGCCAGCTTTCCTGGGAGATCTACAGCCTCTGGAGTCTCCAGACGATCTTCCCAAAGCCTGGCCACCCCAGGCCTTACTCTGCCACACACCCACCTTGATCGGGTACAAGCCTTGAGAGAAACTTACGTGTGACATTCTTGTCCTAAGGGTCAGAGTGGCACTGGACACAGAGGTCCTAACACTCACCAACAGTGGGCAGTGAGGCCTGAGGCCGTCAGTGGGCCCTGGCTACCCCTGCCCAGCCCCACCCTCACCTCGCGGTCTATTCTCAGAGCTCCGTGTGTAACCTGGACACAAACCTCTGCAGGACATGGCACCAGCTGCAGTTGAAGGTCAGGTTTGAGGACATGCAGGTGTCGCAGCTCCGATGCTGGAGGCAAGCTGCAAGAGAGGAGGCTGTGGCTGTCAACATTGTGTCATTGCTTCTCTGGGCAAAGCTCACAAATTCTGGGTCCTTCCTGAACTGTGGCGCCTCTGACTTTGGGGACAAATTGAGGTCATCGTTGCCTCTCTCACTTTTGTTGTGTTTTGAGACAGTGTCTGTGTAGTTTTGGCTTTCCTGGAACTTTTATGTAGACCAGCCTGCCCTCAAACTCACAGAAATCCCCCTGCCTCTGCCTCCTGAGTGTGCTGGGACTATTGAAGAGCTGTTCCTCCTTCCCTTTCTTCTCTCCAGCCCTCTTGGTTGTTGGTCCCTGGGCTGTGATCTTTGTTATCTACTTGACTAGATTTTGAATCGCTTAGAGGAAACACTCCTTAGAGTATCTGTGAGGACCCTACCCGGAGAGGTGTAACCAGGAACAGAAGGTCCACCCTGAATGCAGGTAGAACGGTTGGTGATGGGGATCCAGGTACCCTGACTACTGACCCCATGTGAGTTGTTCTCATTACCAGTTTGCCACCATGATAGACTGTACCCTCCACTGTGAGAGACAAAGTATACCTTCCTTCTTTTTTTTCCAAGATAGGGTTTCTCTGTGTAGCCCTGGAACTCACTCTGTAGATCAGCTGGCCTTGAACTCACAGAGATCCACCACCTGCCTCTGCCTCCCAAGTGCTGAGATTCAAGGCGTGAGCCACCACCATCAGACTCCTTTCTTCATTTTTAAATAATTTATTTATTTTTATTTTATGTGCATTGGTGTTTTGCCTGCATGTATGTCTGTGTGTGAGGGTGTTTGGTTCCCTGTAACTGGGGTTGCAGACAGTCGGGAAGGAGCTGCCGTGTGGATGCTGGGAATTGAACCTGGGTCCTCTGGAAGAGCAACAAGTGCTTTTAACCCCTGAGCCATCTCTCCAGTCCCCACCTTTCCTTTCTTAAGTTGCTTTTGTCATATCAGCAGAAAAATAACCAATACAGGCCACTCATATGTCCTGGGAGTCTAGAATACTTGGAAACTATGGATAGGGGCTTTCCTTACCCCATTCCACAGTGGGGAGCTGAGGTTTGGTGGGTCTTGGAGTTAAGGATGGCAGGTCTGGGTTTGAACCAGGGTCTGTCTGAGCCTGGAGTCAGAACATTTGGTCTTGAGGTTCCACTGCAGATGCCCCTGCCCTGCTCCCAGCCACCCTCCAGTCTTAGACATGCATTTCCAGGACAGCTCAGTACTGCTGGGGCAGTTGAGTCTGCCGTTGGATATTCTTGCTCCTGATTTCTAGGACTTAAGGTTTGATTCCCCCAGAGACAGACTCTACCTATATAGCCCAAGCCAGCCTTGAACTCAATGTCCTCCTGCCTTATTGTCTCAAAGGGAATTACAGGCCTGCATTACCGCGAACCCGAGATCTACTCTTACAGTGGCCTTTGGGAAACCCCCTATTTCCCCGGCCTTTGGGCTTATTGCCCCAGTAGCAGGTGACTGGATTGGTGGGTGACTGTGACCTGGGTGGGCTGTGTCCTCATCTTCTGATTGCCTCTGGATCTGGGGCCTTTCCCAATCTGGGGCCCAGGACTCATGATAAAACTTTCTTTTTCTTTCTCTGTTATCTATTCCCAGAACTTCCAGGGAAGAGAAAAGTGGTGTGTGTGTGTGTGTGTGTGTGTGTGTGTGTGTGTGTGTGTGTGTAGGAGGGATTGTATAGAATGCAAGAAATGTCACAAGAAGGCCAGTGAATGGCTACGGCTTTCTCAGTTGGACGCAGGGAGACTCTTGAGACAAGAGAAGGAACAACACCCTCTGGAAAAATACTATTCTGAACCAGGTGCAATAATAGCACATGCCTGTAGTACCAGCTCTTGGGAGGCAGAAGCAGCAGCATCCCTGCAAAGGAGAAGCCAGCCTTGGCTACATAGCAAGCTCCATCTCAACCAAGGCTGCCCAGTAAGGCAGCCTCCTGGGTTACCTTCTCTAGGGGAAAGATGGTGAGTGACCAAACACCAGACCTATTCCGTGCTCAGCTCTCTGGGGTTTCAGATACGTATTTCTAGCAATAAATGGCAATGATTAGACACAAGTCATACCCCAGGCCTGGGGTGAACAGGTCCTTGTCAAGGCTGCCATTTCTGTACTCAACCACAGCTTTGCAGGGTGGTGACATTAGACCCAGAGAAGTTAGGTGACTGTGTCCCCAGGGATCAGAGGTTGGGCCTGAGATTAGAACCCAACATTTTTGAGTCTAAAGCATGTTCTAGAAGAGCAGGCTTGCTCTACTCACTTGGTAATGGGGTGAACTCCACAGCCGATGTGTTGGTGATCTTGCTGGAGTCCAGTTCCACACGGTGGTACTCGAAAATGGTCCTTCTCCGAGACTCTGAGAAAGAAATGGAGTTTGTCATATCAGGAGCATGTCATAGTCAGGGGACTCCCGGGCTTGTGTCCGGGACCCCAACAGAGGTTAGTACGCAGCCACAGAAGGAGAAAGTGAACCTGGCGGCCGGGATAGTGATGCTGAAGCTACAGGGAGACTAAGTGTGAGGGGCTGACCTTGGGAGGAGGGCTTTACGTAGAAAGGCTAAACCTGGTTGCCTATCTTTTCCTGGAGTCAGGACCTCTGGCATTCATGCCGGGGGAACCATCACAGCTGTTCCTTATAAACCCCCAGCATCTGTCCCTTAGCTTTGTGTCTAGCACACTCATGCAGACCCAGGACACTTCAGTATTGCCCCAGGACAACCCCCTTTCTGCTTAAGTTAGGAACCCGAAGTAGGCAAAAATACAAGTTTTTCACTCAGCTGAAAATGTTTTAAAGGGAGACTTCCCAAGATGGCAGAAGAGCCTGTAGGGAAGAAAAGCTCAGTAGGAAGAGAGTGTGGATGCCGGGAGGGTGAGGAGGTGCCTGTGTCTAAGTTGTGTTTCATCATGGCTTATCCTAAACCCCAGAACTTTCCCCTCTTAACCTAGGATTGAACCCCAGCTGGTGTGCTATCCCAATCTCACTGCTTTTATTTGGGGTCACAGCAGCTGCCCCGGCCCCCAAACACTGGAAATCACAGAACCTGGGTCCACACGGTAGGAGGACACTGCTCTGGAATTAGTGCAGCAACCCAGGCAGACTGGAGTGACCACAGAGCTGCAGTCCTGGGGCCTGAGCTTGAGATGCCACAGGAACACTTCTATACCACCAGGTGGGACCAGCAGTCACCTAGGGTCTGCCACAACCCTGGAGTGAAGTTGAGGAGTCTGACTGAGACCAGTCAGCCCAGGTGACCTTGGTTGAGGGACTCCGGCTCCACACTGAGCGAGGAGACTGGTTAAACTCTACTGATGGGTTTGTTTTGAGGCACTGGGTTTCTTTTTGGTTGTTTTGGTTGTTGTTTTGTGGTTTTTCTAGGTAGCCTTGGCTGGTGGCCTGAAACTCAAACTCTAGACCAACCAGACTGACCTTGAACTCTGCTGGGACTAAAGGTGTGCGCTCCCACTGTGCCCTGGATTAGTTTGAGGTTTACAGAAGATAGCCTGTGAGCTTCTCTTTCTTTTTAGCTTTGTTTGGCTGTGTTGTTTCTGCTGAGATTCTGAGGCACTTCGAGCCTCTGCAGAGAGCCCTCAAACTCCACTCTAACCACTGTTTATAAACTTGGCCACGGAGAGGACGGCTGTCCCCCTTGTTCCCTTCTCCTTTCCCTCCCCTGCCACCCCCAGCTCTCCCAGGGCATATTTCATGTCAGAGACCCTCTGCCAGATTCTGCAGCCCCCTCCCACTTTGGAAATTGCAGTAACAAGAGTCCCCCACAGAGGCCCCATCCCTTGGCTAACCCTGAACATCCTTCCTGCTTTTGCTCTCCTAGCCTCTGCCACCCCCCTGCTGCCGGGTACTCTGTTGGCCCCCACCAGAAAGCAAGGCGACAGAGGACACGGGCTGCCAGTGCTTGGGTGGCAAGTGGGCCTTGGGGTTCACGCAAATGCTCTCTTAAGGATAGTTCACCACACTTGGCCCACTACTGGAGCTATTGGGAGACCCTGACCTTCCTTCCCTGCCAGGGGAGATGCCCACCCCAGCCCTGAGGTGCCTTCCTTCCTTGGGGACTCCTGCTTTGGAGGCAGATGGTTTATAACGAGATCAAGGCTCCTGCTTCCTCCTTCCTTCCCTCCATCCCAGGCTGATCCTCAGGCAAAGACTGGGTGGGAGGAAGGGTCCAGACCTCAAGGGGATTACTGCCCAGTGTAGGCTCTGTCAAAAGTGGCACTCAGATGCCTCAGGCTGAGCTGCAAGGGAGCCAAGACATACTGTCCCGCCATGCAGGCAACTGAAGTGCAGGCAGGTTGATCCATAGACAAATACATTTTCATAACACATTACCAACCAAGCCAATCCATAGCTTTAAATAGAAAACACCTTCTGCAGTTGAAGGGGAAAATTGCACCAGAGCCCAGCGTCACTGTGAATGTCTTCAGTCAACTCATTTGGTACGTAGGTGTGGGCACCTGCTAAATCCTGAGCACCCAGCATGTGACGGCCACCCAGGGCCAGCTCTATCCAGCTCATGTCAGAGCTCCTGGATCTGGACCATCTCATTTGCTCTGGCATTTCTGGAGTTCACGGACAGATGTCACTGATCACTGCATTTTAAAGGAAGAAGTGACAACATATGTATAATTTGCTCAAAGCCATGTAGCTTTTTTTTTTTTTTTTTACTCCAAAGGCCAGATTTAAAACTTAGGTTTCATCCTGGCACATGCCTGTAATCCCAGCACTCAGGGAGATATGCCAGGAGTACATAGTGAACACTAGGCCAGCAAGGGCTACATAGCAATCCTTTGTCTCAAAAACACATAGACAGGCCCAGGTCCCAGGGCTAGGAAAGCTCTAGAAAGTCCCCAGGGGTGTGTGTGGTGTGTGTGCAGGTGAGTGTGTGCAGGTAAGCATGTGCTGCTGTTGGGAAGGGTACATGCGTTCTGGCCAATTCCTGTGGCATAAATGCTCTAACACCTACTTTCAGTATCTTTACTGGTGTTTCTAAAAGGGACAGAAGGGAACATTTGTGTGACTGTCTTTGAAAGTAAACAATTATACCATCCTCCAAAAACTTGGATGATTATGTGTTTGTTTTCCTATTGTCTGAGAATTTCCACTGCTTATAAAACACCATGACCAAAAGCAACTTGGAGAATAAAGGGTTTATTTCATCTTACAACTTTTGTGTCACATTCCCATCACTGAAGGAATCAGGACAGGACTTCACAGCAGGATCCTGGAGGCAGGAGCTGATGCAGAGGCCTTAGAGAACTGCTTACTGGCTTGCTTTACCTGGCTTGCTCAACCTTCTCTCTTACAGAACCCAGGACCACCTGCCTGGGAGTGGCTCCCTAACCTATATCAGTCACTAATTAAGAAAATATAGTCAGGCATCTCTTTAATCCCAGCACTTAGGAAGCAGAGGCAGGAGGATCTCTGTCTCTGTGAGTTCGAGGCCAGCCTGGTCTACGGAGTGAGTTCTGGGACAGCCAGGGGTACATAGTGAGATGATGTCTCAGAAAAAAAGAGGAAAGGAAGGAAGGGGGGAGGGAGAGAGAGGGGGAGAGAGAGAGGAAGAAAGAACTAGGGCTGCCTACAGGCCAATCTTCTGGAGGCACTTTCTCAGTTAAGAGTCCCTCTTCCCAGATATGTCTAGGTTTGAGTCAAGCTGACAAAACAAACCAGCACACCTCCAGTCTGAGGGAAGAGGCTGTGGAGACAAGCTTCAAATGACGGGCAGTAGAATGAGGTGTCATGTCATATGACTGCAATGTCAGCAGTCAGGAGGCTGAAGTTGGGGGATACTGACTTTGAGGCTAGACTAGGCTACAAAAAAGACCCTGTTCAAATGAAGAAAGAGTCACTTAGTAACAGCCAGATGTCTACAGGGGTACTGTGGCCCTAAGAGGCTGCATCCCATCAGGAACTGGGAATGTGCTGGAGAACTAGCCCAGCAGTTAAGAGGACTTGTTCTCACAAAGGACTCAAGTTTGATTCCCAGCACCCACATGAAGGCTAGAGACCACCTGTAACTCCAGTCCCAGGGAATCTGATGCCCTCTTTTGGTCTTTGAGGACACCGGGCACTCATGTGATACACATGCACACAAAACACTCAAACACATAAAGTAATACAATTTTAAAAATCTAATTTTTAAAAGAACTATGGGAGTGAGCCTGGTGTGGCAGTGCATATCTTTACTCCCAGCACTTAGGAAGCAAAGGGCAGGCGGAGCTCTGTGAGTTCGAGGCCAGCCTGGTCTACAGAGTGAGTTCCAGGATAGCGAGGGCTATGTAGAGAGACCTTGATTCTCAAAAACAAAATAAACAACAACAAAATCAAACGATAGGAATGAGATCTTGTACATGGGGATGGACCTCTCACACCCTACCAACCCACAGTGCATCCACTTATACACACATACACAGGCATACAAATAACCACCTCCATAGAAAAATATGTACGCACATAAATACATGCACACAGAATTTTGTTTTAGTGCAGGGGGTTGGACCTAGGATCCATTCATGCTATGCAAGCATTCTGCCACTGACTACATCCCCAAACCCACTCAGACTAACGTTTGTTTGAGGCAGGGTCTCACATTATATCCGGCTGCCCTTGAACTCAGGATCCTGAGTGATGAGATTATAGGCTTATATCATCATGATCAACTTCCCCCATACACACCTTTTCGATAGAAGATCCACTAGCCATGGGAAAATGAGATGTTATGGGCAGCAGGGTGTAGAAGGGCAACTTTGCTGTCATTCATGTGTCCAGAGGGACACTGAGGCCCAGAAAGTGCCCTGAGGGCCTGGGAATAATATTTAGGCAGAGGATGGAAAATTCTAACGAGGCTTTGACAGTTCTATCCCTGTCCATTCTTCCCAGGAACCATCCTCAAGCCGCCCTTTGAACCAGGAGGCCTCAAGTCTAAAGCCAACCTTCCTCCCCTCTTCTGGCTCCACTCACAGGCCCAGCTGATTGGTTCCCTCCCTCAGGCGGAATCATTGGCGCCATCTCTCCTGTTACACTGCTCAGTCAATATCTAGACTCTTGTCTTACCTGCCTCTGCCCCGACTTCAAGGTCCCTAAGGACAGCATTAGCCGGGCATTTTCTTTGCCAGTCTCCTATCAAAGGCCTTCTACCTAACAGGGTTTAGGAAATGGCTGTGAATAAATGAACAGATTACAGATGGCCCTGAAAAGCCTCACCTGCCTATTATAAAGTCAGCCACAGCCCATAGGAAGCCCTTTCCTGTCCCCTCACCACAGATCAGGATGGGAAGCCTCAGAAGAGGAGTCTTCAGATGGCCACAGTCAGACAGATCCAGGCTGGAGCTCAAAGAAGGCATGGGGCTGAATTTCCCTACCTACAAAGGTGTAGACCAGGACTCAGACATGCAGTCAGAAGGAAGGTGACATGGGACCCAGGCACAGACGGAGACAGGCACTTGTGAAGGAAGCTGAGACCAAGGACAGAGACATATAATCCATAGCCAGGAAGTGCAGAGCTCTGCAAGGCTCCCACAGGAAGATGGGGCAGAGGTAGGGCTGAGCCCTGGCCTCGGATACACCCAGGGGACAGTGGAATGTCTTTGGGAATGGCAGACGAGGAGGGTGTGGGATGATGCTCAGAAAGCTGTCTTGAATGGAAAAGACTGGCCACTTCAACTGCCACCTTGTACCCATTTGAGTGTACGAATTAGGTACATTTTTATTTTTATAAACAGAATCATGAATCTCCATACCGGAGTCATTTGCCTTTGGATTATTACACTTACATGTGGGGCTCACTCAGTGACAATGGCATCCATCTGCATGGCCATCTTTCTGGAGCCAGGATGGGGCAGTCTCTAAGCCATACTTCTGGCAGTTTAAGATGCTCTGTTTTGTCTGCTTCAACTTTTCCAAGATACAGAAACACTGAGGGTCCACAGAAAGCCTGTGCCCCATCCAGATCTGACAACGGCTCAGACGCGGGGTCACATGACCCGTTTTGTTCTCACACAGGCCACCTGCAGGCCAGCATTGCTCAGAGTCAGGAGTGGTAGTGCACCTGTAATTCCAGGACTGGGGAAGTGGTGGTGGGAGGGTCAACCGCTCAGGGTCACCTTCCCGGGCTGCATATGATTCTGTCTCAGAAGGAGAAAGAGGAAGAGACGTGGGGAGGAGAAATAGGGATGAGGAAGAAGGAAGATGAGGAGGACCACTACTAGTAGATACTGAAAGGGCCAGCCACAAAAGACCCCAGAATGTTGTAAACATTGTTTGGAAATGTACAATGGTGGGTCTCCAACCATCCATCCATCCATCCATCCATCCATCTCAATATCCATCCATCATCCCTCTATCCATTCCTCTATCTGTCCATCATCCATCCTCCATCCATCATCCCTCTATCCATCCATCCACCCGTTCCTTTGCTCATTTGGTTATTTAGTCTAATAAAGATTAGAACCCTGGCAGAAAATCCTGAGGAACTCTCAGCTCAGGGCAGGAAGCAGAGCAAGTCTTCATCATTGAAGCAAAGAAAGGGCAAAAAAATGAAAAAACAAAACAAAACAAAACAAAAACAAACAAACAAAAAAACCAATACTCCAGAGCCAAGTGCTGGGAACACAAGATAAAAGTGGGAGAGTAGACAAAGGGCCCTCGGCAGAGAAAGCTATCCAAGAAAGAGCACTATAAAATTCTTTAAATATACTTTAAATGTGGTGGCATGTACCTTTGATCCCAGCACTCAGAGGAGGCAGAGGCAGGTGGATCTCTGTGAATTCCAGGCCAACCTGGTCTACAGAGTGAGTTCAGGACAGCCAGGGCTGTTACCCTGTCTGGAAAAGCAAAACAACAACAAAAAATAGACTATTTTTCCCTGTCTTCCTCCCCCTCCTTTTTGAGACAGGGATCCAGAGGCGCCTGGGACTCACAATGCAGCTGAGGATGACCCTAAACTATTCATCCTTCTACCTCTACCTCCTGAGTGCCGGGACTAAAGGAGCACAGCATCACGTGAAGCTCTCTATGAAAAATCCTTTATCAGAGAGTAAGAAGTCAAAATGGGCCAGATGTGGTGGCTAACTCTCCTCCCACATCCTCTTTGGCTGGTCCCTCTCCCTTCTACAGCCAGCTCTGGGGCCTCCTCCTTCTTCATGGCTGGCGCAGAGATATGGCACATGCTTCTGACACACATCTGGCCTCAAGTCAGTTTTGGAAAGGAAATTCTGGGAAAGGAGGACCAGTGCTCTAGGGCCATCTGAGGCCAGCCAGGTGCCAGCCAGAGTTCACATTACAATCTACAGCCCTTGGGACACTGATTCTGCTAATTCGCAGTCTGTCAGTTTTGACAATTACATGAAATGTTGCCACCACTGCCTGGCAAAATAGTTTCTTAAGACAAATGAAGGGGCCAGGTTTGGAGGCAGCATTGAGGAGGCAGAGGCAGGAGGATCTGTGAGTTCGAGGCCAGCCTGGTCTACAGAGTAAGTTCCAGGACATCCAGGGCTGTTACACAGAGAAACCCTGTCTTGAAAAAACAAACTACCAAAACAAAAATCAACAACAACAAAAGACAAGCGAAGGGAATTGTGTTTTGGCGCTTTCTCCAACCAAATGGAGAACACTGAGGCCACCATGGAGGATTTGAGCTGCAAGCAGATGCTGCTGACAGACACAGCTGTCCCCTGCATCACAGTGCCCTCCAAACTCCCATCACAGTGTGAGCAATAGTTTACTTAAGGGAGTAATGGAAACCTGACTGTGTTCAGCAACCCCACCCCACCCCACCCCCACCCCTCCGAAGACCTCGACCATCCTACTCAGCAGGGCAGAAGGACGATTCCCTGAGACAGAAGGACTCGCGGCTGGCACATCCTTTCCCGTTGCTGTTTGTTTTGCTTTGTTATAATCCATTTTGTAGGGGCAGGGTTGGGGGAGGTGCATGAGTTTGTGTGTCTGAGTAGGCCAGAGGTTGATGCCAGCAGCTTCCTCTATTGCTCTCCACCTCACTGAAACACCGGTTCTTGGTGAACCAGAACTCCATAATTGGGCAAGACCAGCTGTCCATCAAGTTCAAAGGTGTCTGCCTCCTCAGTGATACAACTGCAGGTATGTGCCTCCATGAGGGGATGGGGGCATATCGCCTTTCCTGGCTCCCCTCCGACCTCCTTCCACAGGTCACTCCGCCCATGGCTCCACCTCCCAATGGGCATGGTCAGTGCCACAGATGGACTATCTCACTACAGGGGCAGGGTTAGCTGTATGTTGGGCATCTGAAAGCAGGTTCTTAGCTAGCTAGTAGGTAAACATTTTACCTACTGAGTCATCACCCTAGACTACTTGTTTTTTGTTTGTGTGTGTGTGTGTGTGTGTGTGTGTGTGTGTGTGTGTGTGTGTGTTTTGAGGTGACATCTCTTGTAACCCAGCCTGGCTTTGAACTCTTTGACCCTCCTGCCTCCATCACCACGGTGCTGCCTTGCAGACACGTGTCATGACACCCAGATAGCTGGGGATCTTCACGATCAGGAAAACTGAATTCCACTGTGTATCATCTCAGGCAGGAAAGAGCTGAACATGGGCACAGGACAGAAGAGGCCTCCCGTCCTGGGTTCGAACTGTGGGATATCCATGGAAACAACACTCAGCAGGCCACAGTGCTCTCTCCCTGAAACACTTCAATCACAGTCATCTGGGAGTCACTACTACTCAAGGCTCAACCTAATCAAAGCAAATTCCCTGCTTGCCAAGCAGAACGGATTAAAAGGATCCTAACATGTTAGCCCCTAAAAAGCTGTCACTCCTGAAAGGGGGGGCTGTGACATTATTTTTTGTGGTACAAGACAGTGAGTTCAAGGCCCACTTTAAAACTAGTGAAGAGTGCTGGGCGTTGGTGGCACACGCCTTTAATCCCAGAACTTGGGAGGCAGAGGCAGGCAGATCTCTGGGAGTTTGAGGCCAGCCTGGTCTACAGAGTGAGGTCAGGACAACCAGAGCTGTTACACAGAGAAAACCTGTCTCAGAAAATCAAAACCTTAGTGAAGGCTAAAATTCTGTCTCAGAAAAATGCACCAATGTGCCTCTCAGTGTTGCCTTGAGAGTGGATAGAACCTGGAGCCTGGCACATGCTATACCAGGGTTCTACCACCGAGCCACATGCCAAGTCCCCTCCAATTGTTCCAACAACTGACACCACGGTGAGTTGTACTCATTGGCCACCAGCCCCAAATCTAGTATTGAGGATTAGAGTTGGGACTTAAATGACAATGGGCAATGGGACCCACACAGACACACAGCATGGACCAAGGGGAGCCATAAACTTGAGCTTTTAGGATGCTCCCTGTACATTCAGCCAAGACAAGAGACAGTCCTCCATGAAAGAGATCCTAGGATATTATAACTTGATAAAGGGACAGGAGCTTGGAAATGAATGCTTTTGAGCAACCCAGGGACATTGGGAGCTCTAAAGAGTCCTAGGACCAACAGTCCATGGATGCTGAGGGCATGGTCTCTATCATCAACTTAATTAGATTCAGGACCACCCAGGAGACACATCTCCAAAGGGCTTTCCCAGAGAGGTTCATCTGAGGAAGGGAGGATGGCCTGGGATAGGCGTGGTGTTATCCATGGGCTAGGGTCCAGGACCCAACACCAGCGTCCGCCTCTCTCTGCTTCCTGACTATGGGCTCCATGTGACCAGCACCTCACACTCCCACAGCTTCTCCTTCCTCACCACGTGGACTGTATGTGAGCCAGAACAAACCCATATTCCTCAAATGGTCTTTGTGAGGCATTTTGTCATAGGAAAGAGAAAAGTGGCTAATACAGAGGTCGCTGTATAGGGACTCACCTGGCACCTCTGGGGATGAATTGAGGATCATGAAGGCATCCGACAGGCCAGCCTTGACAGGGTGCTGGGCAGAGCTGATTTCCAGAACAGCCATAGGGATCTGCAGCAGGGAGAAGAGGCACCTTCCATCCACCCAGAACCCACCATGTCCACTAAGCCCCCACTCAGAGCTCCGCACCCAGCTGTCTGCTCAGTTCTAAAACACCTGGAACCACATTCTAGGACTCCCTCGATTCCCCCCACATGGACCCTCTGGCTCCACACAGGCCGGAAACTGCCCTGAGCCTCTCCCCTTCTGTTCTCTCCTGCTCTTGTCATCCATCTCCAGATACCGAGGTAACCCAGTGGCTCTTATGTCTGTCTGGTTCTCTCATCCCCTTCTCCAAGCTGTACCACTTCCCTACACCGTCTCCCAGCATGTCCCTTAGTCTACAATGGTCTGCTCCCCCACTCTCTACTCCAGCAAAGCCAGTTTCTTCTAGTGCTTTGGATAAGCCATGCTGTGACCTGCCAAAGGACTTCTGTGCAAAGGACTCTCCTCAATGCACTTGTGTGGTTTGAAAAAAAAAAAAAAAAAGGCTCCCAAAGGGAGTGGCACTACTAGGAGGTGTGGCCTTGTTGGAGTAGGTGTGGTGCTGCTGGAGGAAGTGTGTCACTGTGGAGGTGGGCTTTGAGGTCTCATATATGCTCAAGCCATGCCCAGTGAGGCAGACCACTTCCTGTTGCCTGTCAGTCAAGATATACGATCTTTCAGCTACCTCTCCAGCACTGTCTGCCTGCACGCTGGCATGTCATGACATGACATGATAATGGACTGAACCTCTGAACTGTAAGCTGCCATCACAAGTAAATGTTTTCCTTTATAAGAGTTGCTGTGGTCATGGTGTCTCTTCCCAGCAACAGAAACCCTGAGAGCACTTCATTCTTTTCTTTACTCCCTTCACATCCTGCCGTTTTCAACACTTTTCCTCAGGGAAGCTTCCCCTGGCCTCTGACAACGTGAAGACTCCCACAGCAGGCTTTTAACACTGGAAGCCTTTATGTAGGGGCATGGGGCTTGGTGCCTTTATGTAGGGGCACTAGTCCTGGTGATATTCCCATAGTGGTCTCTGTAATCATCGCTCAAGATCTGTATCTGCAAAAGGACTAAGTGTGAGTTCAGAGCTGCCCTGGCACCAAGCCCCATGCCCAGCACACCGCAGATTGCCTCTACAGACTTTCTGGATAAATGAGGGGCTCTAGAGCTCGCTCACCTCTTTGTAGCCGAAGACAATGCGGCCATCTTGGTGAAGGGCTGCCTGGAATGTGAAGCTGCCCCTGTCTTCCCGGCCCTGGAGGTAAACATGGTCCCACTGAACCACAAAGACTGTCCCTGGGGAGAAGAACAGAAACCTGGCTAGACAGGGAGCTAGTGCAGGGGAACCCAGAAGACATGGTGGTCAGAGGTGGTGGCCATTTGTGAATTTGTGAAGCAGAAACTTGGCAACCCACACCACCAGCCTAGCTTCCGAGCTATGGAAGCCCCTGAAGATCCTGTTATGTCCCGGGTCCCCAAGTTGCTCATCTCTTACTGTGTGTGTGTACCCATTCTTTCTTGCCTATCCTGACTCCCGGAGACCAAAGGGAAAATGGAATGTCTGTCTCGTAGGGGGATGGGGGCTCATGAGAGTGAGAAAGCCCTCTTGTCTCCACCTGGCTCAGCGATGCTAGGCAATGGTGCGTCAGTGCCCTTCTTACAGTTGAGAAAATAGCATAGGGTAGGAGGGAAAGGTGGCTGTCTGCCTGTGTGCCTGTGGACCTAGGGCTCCCAGGAAGGGGTTAGGCCAGGACCCCCCAGTGCTAGGTGAACTGTACTCAGATCGGACCTCACCATTGTCAAAGTAAGCAACTGTGGAGTTGTCAGAGTAGCCAGGGTTGAAGTTGGCCATCAGGGGTGCTACATACTGAGTAGCTGTGAGCATCCGGTGGAGCACGTCACCCACAAAGATGAAGCCTAAGGGAGAGAGGTTTGGAGTTATCACTAGAAATGGCTCAAGGGGCTGCCTCTAGGGTCCCCCATACACACTGGCAGGGGCTAGAAGTGAGCCTTGCGGCCTCATGCCCCTCCACACCCAGTGAGCTCTGGACTTAGTGAGATAGAAAACGGATCCAGACTAGAGAATTCTGGTCCCTTGTCTCTGGGTAGGAAAGGGGAGAGAAAGTAACTCCCATCTTCCCCAGTTTCAGGAGAAGCAGGAAACAGAATGAAAGTGACAGGAACCTAAGAGAAGCCTCATATCAAAGGGACCCTGGTCCTTGCTTCCTTGGGCTCAGACGCAGAAGTTGAAAGCCCAGAGCTACGCATACTGACTGTGTTGGTCCAGCAGGATGGATGCATGCACACACATGCAGGCATACCCACGGGCACACACACAGGTCACCTGGTTTAAGCGGGACATTCAAGGCATTCCCTGACTACCATAGCCCACCTGTCCTTCTGTCTCCAGTGAGTCCCCCAACAGCCTCCCTAAGTCATGCTGAGACCTCCAAGTCCTCCCCCAACCTCACTGGTTTTTCCTTACCTCCAGTTGCTATGGTGATCTGTCGCAGAGGATGCCCGTAGAAAGGGAAATCAAAGGACAAGACCACTCTCTGCAGGGAGAGGAGAGGGTCCCCATGGGTGAATCTGCTAGTCAAACGCTGGTCACCCTCCCTGATCCAGACTTGCCCGAACAATGTGGGCACAAGCACATCCGGGGCAGGCTCCCAAAGACGACAGCTGGGTACCCACACTACATGTCCTCTAACTGTATCTACCCCAGATCACAAACCTCTAGCCATAACCATGACCCCAGCCTCCCAGCCCAGGCTGACCTGCTAGGCCCTAGGCACTCACTGAAGCCTGTCGGTGAGAACTTGAGAGGATCCTGTGGACCTTCACGTGGCTCCGGTTGGCCATGGCCATGTCCACCCACAGATCCCGGCTGCGACGCTCACCAGGGCCATAGACTCGGGACACATAGTAGTTGTGGTTGTCCTCCTGCAGGGACAGAGATAGCACCCATAGGAGGTGTGATGAGCCAGGTAAGCTGGGTACCAGCTCTGCTCTTCCCTACCTAGGCTTGCCCAGATCCTCCTGGCCCAGAGCACTAGACCCACTGGGAGCTCCTGGAACACCCCTAAAGAGCATGGTCCTGTTCCATTCCTCAACAGGGCTGGCCCTAGCCAAATCCACACTAGTTCCATTTTGGTTCAGCTCTGACCTGCACAAACAAACAATTCCTGTAACCCTGAATGTATCAGAGCATGACAAAGGTCAAGTTCAGTATTGGGGACATGATGGAGAAACCCCAGATAAAGCCTTTGTCTAAAAGGAGCATGCCTAGACCACAGAGAACACACAATCTCTGAACTGCACTAAGAAAAAAATGGAGGGAAAAAAACCCCTACAACAACTAGGTCTTAGACGTCCAAGGGAGAAGGCAGTTTCTGATCTTGGGGGGTTGCTAGTCTGTTGCAGGAGATAGGACACAGGCAATGGAATACTCAGATGTGGGCAGATGTGGGCAGATGTGGGCAGCAGTGCTCTCACTGCGGTCACCAGATGGAGTAAAAGAAGAGAGACGCAAGGAGTTCCTCTCCTCAAGGGATAATTTTGCATCTCCCTATGTGGCTGACGGGGATACCACAGCGGGCTGGGTTTGTTCCACAGTCTCCCTCGGAGGAGCATCTGGGGCCAGGACTTGTAGCAGAAAGAATGGGAAAGCCAGCTAGCTGGGCTGTATCTCAACACTTCCTGGAGCAGGCCCAAGAACACCTCACAGAAGGCTAATGGTGGCAGCAGGGAGGTGGGAGGCTCCCAAGGCTGCCTCAGGTACTGTGATGCCCTGCCTCCTGGATCATTAATCAGGCTGCAGACACAGCAGAGCAGACTGTGTTCTTCCTGTTGAGCTGCCAACTGCCCAGCCAGGACCTGGCCTGAGCCCAGTGGGAGCAGGGAGCTGGGGCCCTGGCCACTGCGTGCCTGCAGAGCAGCAGACCACACCCTCTGAACACAGTTTGGAGACTCAGGGCTTGGGGTGGCTTGGAACATGGAGGGGAGGTCCTTCTGGGACCACCTGCTAGTGCAAGTCTGGGTTGGGCTCACTCCTAAATGGGAGGGCTTGCTGCTTCTGCAGGAGACCAGAGTTCTGTTCCCAACCCCACATTGCAGGGCTCACAACTGCCTATCACTCTAGCTCCAGGGGATCTGGTCTTTGTGAAAAAAAAGGAAATCAAGTTTAGATGCAAGTCTTGATGTGTATGTGCAGACCACGCCCAGCTACCTATATGTTTCAGGGTTCCCAGACCCCATCCATGAACATCTGCTTCATCTCAGGCCACACCTCCACACCTGCCATGTTCTCCAACCTGGTGCTTCCTCTACCAGACTGATTGGAATGGGCGCTTGAAGGCAAGTTTAAAGGAGTCCACAAAACCCAGACAAATGATTAACAGGTATCTATCAGGGAAGCACTCACACAACGATGGTAAATAACTGCCACGGTCTTCTGGCTCCAAAGATGCAGCCTCTGCCCTTCTGGATGCTACAACCACAACCCGAGAGATCAAGCCAGCCTCTCCTCTTCCTTATAAGGGGTCATGTCCACACACCCAAAGCCACACCCCTAGGATATGGCCACCCCAAGTCCACTGGTGGAACAAGATGTCACAACTTGTGGTCACATAATTCAACACACACAGGCATGCACACACCTTGAGCCATGGAAGCTTACCGTCTTCATCTATTGCTTCTGCAGCCTAAGCCAACCTCATCCTTCTGGATGGAGGCGGAGTAAAATTGAATGGGTGAGAAATTAGTGGCTGAAGAGCTGAGCTAAAACTGCCACCTTGCCTTGTCCACGGGAGACACTGGTCCCCAGACAGGACAAGGAACAGCTCCTTGCTTCTTGCTCCAACTATTAAGAATGGAAATGAGGTAGGAACTGATGTGTGCCTGGAGAGACAGGCTAAGCAGCTCTGATTCCCACAGCTGTTTAGGATCCTCAGGGTCTAGACTTTCTCTGTGACACTGCTAAGATGGCTGCTGGAAACATGGAACAGTCTTCTCTGTGGGGTGACTGGGAGAAGAACTTCCAGGAAGACCCCAGACAGCTCTTCATTAAACAGCACAAATCTGAACAGCAAGAGAGAAACAGAAAACCAAGTTTCTGGGCAGCTGTTCCCTGGCCACCATGTCTGTTTGTCTGTCTGTTTTTTCTTATACAAAGTCAACCACGGCTGGTTTCTTGACTGAACACTAGAGCAGAGTTCCATAGCTTGGAATGAAGCTCGGGGAGACTTCCTGGTTGTCACTATGGGCCCCCAGTCATGTTGTCACCTACCCCAGCAGTTCTGGTGGAGGATGTCCACTATGGCAGAGAGAGAATGGCCTCACAGTAACCACTGTTCCCACCTTACTGCAGCAGCAGACCCTCCACTTTATCTAGGCACGGGCCACCTAGCCTGACTGGATCTCCCCAGTCCTCCCAGCCACTTGGCCATGTATGACTAATGGGAGATTAGCAGAATTCTGTCCTTCTCCTCCTCCCACCCTGAGCCAAAATGGGATGCAGATGTGCAGATGTGATGGCTAGAATGGAAACAGCCATCTTAGATTACAAACATGGGAGGCACATTTGCACAGTGCAGAGTAACAGGACAGAGGGAAACTTCCTACATCACAGAGACCCTTTAACAGCCCTTGCTCATACTGTTCCCTGCGAGAGATTTATTGTGTATCTTAAGGCCCAGTCATGGAGGCATTTGCTGAAAGTGCATTCTAATTAATACAAAAGCAGGGCACGGTGATATGTGTTTGAGATCCCAGTGCTTCGGAGGTAAAGGCAGGAGGATCAGGAGCTCAAGACCAGCCTTAGCTACACTGCAAGTCTGAGGCCAGCCTGGGTTGTATGAGACTCTATCTCAAATAAATAAATAAATACAAAGAAAAGGGGGTGGGCTACAGAAGCAAGCCCTAGTTGGTCTTTCCAGCCAATAAACACTGTATGATGTACAGTTAACACATGTACAAGGTATCAATATTGTGTATGCACAGGTCCAGGAACTCACTATCCACAGACCATCATCACTGCATCACCTGCTGTTTGTCACCCCAGAGGGTGGTCCCTAGGTGCTGGGGCAGGGGCAGGGGCAGTGCTGATTTGACATTTCAAAGAGGGTCAGTGATTCTAGTGAAGGAGGCAGTGTCTGTGAATGTCACAAAGCCCCCGTCAGTCAATAATCTCCCTGTTTCACTGGCGATGGGGTAAACTCAGACCTTTTTTCTTTCTTCCTTGGCAGCTCAGCACCTACATCACATCACAGTGAAACCACTCTACCTTCTGGAGCCTTCTCCAGCACCCTCCATCCCATAGCAGCGCATGGGGCATCTCCAGGAACTCTTAGGGTCCCATGGGGCATCATTTGAAAAACCACTGCTCCAGGATCAAGTGTGCATTCGGGCTTTGGTGTCAGCCTGATCTGAGTTCGAAACCCAGACATGATGATGGTTGGTGAAGAAGTGTCCCTTCTTCAATGCTGCAGTCTTGCAAGGATTCCCTGGGACAGGACAACCGACAGCTCTTGGCCCGGTGCCCACAGCAGGTGTCCTGTAAAGTGCTAGCTCTTAGATTATTGTGTTGGCCCTTTCCATGAAATGTCTTGACAGCACAGGCTACCTCCTCAAACATCCCCAGACTCCACATAGTTCACATAGCAAAGGGTCTTATCCCTCCATCGCTCATGCTGCTGGAGACCCTCCAGGCACTTCACTCTGAGGGTGACACTATTTACTTTGGCTGAGCTGAAGATGTTTCTGGAAAGGAACTCCGCCTAAGCTCTCACAATCATCCTGTCACCTGCCAGCCAGCTGGCTGGTCGGGATGCTGGGCAAGCCACCAAGGGCACTGCAGGGCTGGCAGGAGAGCGTGGCGAGCCAGGCTTGCCAGGATAGCCCTGAGGCAGCTGGAGCCAGCCAAGGAAGCACTGCTGAGAAGGGGCTTTGTCGCTACCCAGTCCATGAGGGTTTACAGAGCCACCCGCTGGGGAGCGAGTTCTAGGTCCCAGATACTCAAAATGGCCTGGGCTCCCCAACAACAGAGTCCCTTAGGAGCCCATCGGAGTTCTGGGCTGGGTTGGGAGGCTGAGGCAGGAGGATCTCTGTGAATTCGAGGCCAACGTGGTCTACGTAGTTCCTGGACAGGCTCCAAAGCTACTGAGAAAACCTGTCTCAAAAGACAAAATAAAACAAAAACAAAAATGAAAGAAAGAAAATAAAAAAATCCAGGTGTGGGGACTCATTGTGTAATCTTAGCACTTAGAAAACTGAGGCAGGAGGATTGCCAGTTAAAGGCCAGCCTAAGTTACAGAGAGAGTTCCAGTCCAGACAGAACTAAAAGGGGTTAAAAATTCTTAAATAAATATGAAAAGGAAGAAAGGGAGAGAGGGAGGGGGAGGAGAGAGGGAGGGAGGGGAGGGGAAGAGAGGGCAATGATACCAACCCCAAACCTGCAGATCAGAGCTGACATCTGCATAAGAAAAATTTAGAAGTTTGCAGAGAAATTTTTAAAAATAAAAAATGCAGATTTAAAAACATAAAAATGTTTTCCCCACACCATTCATCCTAAAGGAGATGGTGGCTAAGAGCTAGATTGTGAACAGAACTGGCTCTGCCACTCATTGGATGTGTGACCAGGGGCAGGTGACTTCAGTCATCCCTTCTGGATCAAGAGAAAACAGGGCATCAGAAACACCTGTCCAGTGGATAGGGTAGCCCAGTGGGTATTTTCCCAGTGCATAGGACAGCTCAATGGTAGGGTGGCTAAGTGGGTAGGATCACCCAATGGCCACTGGCCCAGGCCAGAGCTACAGTCAGCGGAAGTCACTGCCCTGCTGGCTAGGTTTTCCTCTCCTGTCTTCTGGTGGGCTTTCCCTGGACCTCCTTCTCCTTCTCGGACTGCTACCTTGAAATAGGGAATTCTTTTTTTTTTTTTTTTTTGA